CGAAATCGAAACAGTATGGGTCCACATCGAAACGTGGTGAGTCCACTTGTCTTAAGTGCAAGAGCAGTTCGGATAAGACACATGCGTTGTGCTCGAATACAACATGTACCCTTTCTACTTTAATTTAAAAAAAGAAAAACTATTGTGTTCCAATCGCATATTAGATTCTTTTTTTTTTTTTAGGTCAGTGTCTGCCCTTGTGCTCCCCGCCACTAACACGGTGCATGTTGTAGGGCTCGCTCTCTCTCTCTCCCACTCTCTTACACACACACACACACAGACACACACATTATGTTGTCTATTGGTGGGGAGAGACAACTGTTGGAAACTGGGTCCAGCGTCCCATAAACATTGTTAATAGAACACCAGTTGGACCCCCCCCGACACTCTTCGAGTTGTGTAAAACGAATATAAGAAAACATACGCATACCATAATCATTATCTCACCCTTCTCCAACCACAACAATAAACGAACTATGGGCTGCACACCCATGCCCTCATCGTAAATCAATTAAAAATATCAGACTAGATCGATAAGATAAATCATATTAGATAAGATCGATTAGCTAGATAAATTATATTAAATATAGAATCAATTCTCATGGTCGTCTGCGGTACCCTTGGTACCAACCAATTGAGAGAGTTAGCTGAATCCTCGCGGTCGGTATTAGTAGGGTCTTTAGCCAACACAAGTGTGAGTGCGAGTGTGAATTGGTTGTGTGTGGTGTGTGAGAGAATGTTCACCTTATACATTGTTGTACTCGATGGGGGGGGGGGGAAGATGAAAAGGGAGGCACACCAACTACTAGCAAATGCTTAGTCCTTATGTTAACCGGGCCCCCACTGGCGGTCCCAACCGTGCACCCTAAACCACTAGGGCAGGAGTCAAACATGCAATTACCTCTCTCCACTGAGAGAGGTAACCTTCCTTCACCAAGCGAGGCTGATAGCTATGCTCAATGGTCCCATGTATAGTCTTAGGAGTAGTGGTAGGTACGTAGTGAAGGATTAAAAAAATATGAGAGATGGGGTTTGCTAAACGACAAGTACATGGCCCCAGCCTTGCAGTCCGAAACTTGCTTCCACAAGACGTCAAACTTTGGGCCAGCCGTTGATAAGTTAGATCTGCGGTCGTGGTTTCGTTTTGTGCCTCCATAATTTGAAGTGTCAGGCCCGCAGCCCAGGTGCCCAGTACATGGCCCCAGCCAAATCGAGAGTCTGATTGAGCCTCTTCCCACTATCCCTAGCTACCATCCTACAAAACCTTAGTCTCTTCCCACAACACTTGGGTTCGGGCCGTCGTTGACAAATTTCATTAGTGGCTGTTGTCATGTTTCGGTGTGACGCCCAAACCTCACGCCCAGCGCGACTTCCTGATCGGAGTGGGATGTGGCCCTGGAAGTGCGAAAAGGGGGTGTGCCAAGGATTTTTGGGGAAAGTGGAGTCCCAGGTCAGAACTGGGATCTCCTGTGACAGGGTCTTTCTTGGGAACGAGTGCAATTCGGCGAAGAGGGCGTTTTTGGGTTACCAGCGCGGTTCGCTCAGGACCAAGCGAGCCATTGGTTTCGGGGACGGCGGGTCGGGGGTTGGTCTCTTCGGGGTAGGTGGGGTTCCGATGAGTTCGTCTGTCGGGAGTTTCCACGTGGCGCTGGTTGTCGCACGTGGGGGCTAGGCCTTCAAAATTCCGAGGTTCTTTGATCGCTGTGCCGTTGGCAGTTCCCGCAGGGTGTGCTGGGCTAATAGGGGGCTATGGCTGGCCACGGAACGACACTGAGCTGATGGTACGGAAGAAAAAGGCGGGAGGGAGGAAAGCTGGTGGTGATGACGACAAATCCCAGGTGGATGAAGTAGTAGGTATGGTCAGGAGAAGGGAAATAAAAGCACCGGGGTTCGCTAGAGGTGGCGCAGTGAAACTCCAGAGGACATAGTCGATTCTCAGTGTGGCAGGGGTATCGCTGTCTCAGGATTTCGTTTATCCAACGGGTGAAGTAGTTTGGGTCGTATGATGAGTCGGAATTCCAGGATCGCGTCATTGTGTCATTGCGGTATTATGAGTTGCCTAAGGGCGGGTCCGCGGCGATTGCGATTGCCCCATGCGAGCACGATTGCGATCGCAAAATGCGAGCATGTGTAGGCCACGCAAATGGCGTCGAACTTACGCCTGCTCGTGCGGGGCGACTGCGCCGTTGCGGATTTCGGGATTGGGTACCTGCGATCGATGGTCCTGATGAGTCACGCCCGGGGATACGTGTAAGTGCGCAACTCCGATCGCGTTTTACACGTGTCCTCGCACGACGTCCGCCAAGCCCGACGTCCGATCGTCTAATCACTCCGTGCTATTCTGAGCATGCAAGATGCAACGATCACAACCAGCTTGACCAAAAGGCAAGCAGAGACAAAGATAGGATTATCGATTGCGCAAAATCCCTGTTCTACACACGAGTGCGTCGAATGCGACCAACAAAAGCAAAGACAAGGGTTCCTCANTTCTACACACGAGTGCGTCGAATGCGACCAACAAAAGCAAAGACAAGGGTTCCTCAACAAAAAGATAGGCAATCAAACATGACATCCATACATCCATCCATTCCGTAATCATACACATAGCACATCAGAGATGGGAAAGTCGCGAGGGCAAATGTGAGCAGAAACCCCAAATCCAAATTATGAGAAATTGAAAAGAATGGGCAAACTGTCCGAAGTCGAAATCAAAATTTATGTACACAAGTCAGGAGGGAGAAAAGATAAGGAAACAACAAAACCGCGTCCATCAACCTCAACTCTCTCTCTCTCTCTCTCGCTCTTCTTCTCCGATGCGGACAGTCCATCATCGCGCACCAACCCACGAAGCCGTCACCCCACTTAGTCCTCCCGCACCCGTCAGGTTCGCCCGCGCCCACAGTCCGTCGTGGCCCGCGTCAACCCCGTGCGTTTGGCACCAGCTCGTCGGGTCGCCCGACTCCTGCTCTACTCACCTCTTACTTCGCTTGTGTGCCGACCCTTCCTGATCGCGCAACCCCGAGCTTCCAACCGCTGGTTAAGAGAGCTAACTAATGCGCARCCGRAATTTATAGCGTGCATGCATGMGCGAAGAACACGRAATTACAAGGACTTAGAAGAAGGGAAGGGGGAGGGATTTGCCTACGTCTGCATGGTMTGATCGTGGCGTGRGGGACGTAGCSGCTCTCCAYGCACCGATCCGATCATGCAGACCGCGGCTACCAAAAGCGCAGCAAAAGAARGAGAAGAAGGGYGGGAAAGACGAAGTGCAAGAAGGAAGATACAGTTACAATGGCGCYCGCCCAAAATTACAGTTACGCGCACRATTAAAGGCGCCTACTAATCAGAGTACCGTTGCAACCGCATGAAGAAGCGCGTAGACAAAAGGCGCCGCGCRTTAAGAAAAATCCTAATTCCTAAATTCCTAAATTCCTATCTAGTGCGAAGAGGCAAAAAGCACAAATTCCAGAAGGAAAGTCCGAAATTCCGAGAGCCATCGGGGCTCGACAAAATTCGAAAAAGATTCAAAAGAAAATCCAAAAAGAACGAAGCAAATTCCCGCGCGATGTCCACGCCCAAAAGTTTGGAACCGAAACAAAAGAATCGACGTCAACATTTATTAATCGCNAAATCCAAAAAGAACGAAGCAAATTCCCGCGCGATGTCCACGCCCAAAAGTTTGGAACCGAAACAAAAGAATCGACGTCAACATTTATTAATCGCACGCGAGGTGGCGCGCCAGCCATTTAGCCGACCAATCAATCAACCGGCCATCCCAGGACACACCCAGCTCCGAATCCAGCCATCCGAAAAGAAGCGACGAAAAAGCAAGGACACTGATGCAATTTCCCACCGATCCCGGCCTTCCGTAATTGGCCCAGCCTTCCCAACTTAGGACCCCTCATTGCAACCGCGCAGAAAGTTGCGTGTTGCAAAAAGTGGTTCGTCACATATGTGACGCCCAGGGGGTTCCAATATTAGCAAGCTCCTGCTTGCTTGTGACACGTGTCAATTTCTCTGATCAACCGACACGCGGAGCATCTCTCTCTATGCCACTTACCGTTCAATTGAGTGTGGACGTCGTCCAACGTGGCAATACTGCTCTTCTACTAATTCCTCAGGGTAGGCCTTCGACATTCCAAGGAGGGGGATTACACGTGCCGCCGTTATGACACTTGTCCAATAGCCATACATCAGTGCAAGGTAGACCCTAGACGTTCCCGAGGAATGGCAGTCAAATCATTGAGGGTGGAGGGGGCGGATGGTTCAGGGGGAGAGGGGGCATGAATCAATTGATGGCGGGAGAGGCGAAACGAGGAAGGGTATCGTAGTGGAAGGCGCGACGGATGCGGGGGAAGCGAGGGACCTCATGAAGATGGCGAAAGGCGACGATGTAGTCGGGGTAGATGGTAGAGAGGGTCCGTCGCAGGGCGGCGTGAAAATCTTCGTAGTTTTTGCAGCCGGGAATAGTCCCTGATATAATACAGTATATTTCTACGTGGTTATATTCCCGCCAGTCTGTCCTAAACAGGAGTACATGAAGGAGAAAGGAATCAACAACAGAATGGGTGGTGGCATGCGGATAAACGAAGACTAGAAGGCGGGTAGCGTAGAGATGGTAGAAAAGGTGATGGGGGAAAGGACACCAACCATCGGGGAACGGGGGTCTATCGGGAAGACGGGTAAGCATGAGGTAGTCACGGGGTCGGTGAGAGAACGACCGGGGACGAAGCCCGAACGCCGAGATCTTGATGTAAACGAATGGAGGATCGAGACGGGGAGCCGGAGGGAGTTGGCGATTCACTTCTTCTTCTTCTGCTCCGTGATCCCTCTGTTGTGGTTCCATCATCTTCTTCTTCTGGCGGCTCCGGGTCACGCCACGGGTCCCCGATCGACGGATCGATCGGAGAAACGTTTGGCACGGGTCGCTTTCCCTCCGCGGTCTCCTGGCGCTTTCGTTTCCTCTGTTCTTGCACTCGTTTTCGGGCCGCGTCGCGCACCTCGGTCTCGAATCCTTCGTACTCCGACTTCGCTTGCTCGTTTTCTTCTTCTTCTTCCTCATCTAGTTCCTCCTCTTCGTCCGCTTCTTGATTCGTCGGCTATCCCCGCTTCGCTTTCCAGTACGTAGTCTGTATCGTCTCTTTCTTCGCTCGATGGCTCTTCTTCTTCCCCCTCTTCGTCTGCTCCCCCTATCTCCTCGTCCTGCACCGCGTTTTGCCTCGCAATCGGGTCCCAAAACGTGAGATCGGTAACGTCGATCTCCAAGTAGAGCGCCTGGGAGGGATAGAGACAGTTCTCCTCGTCAATCTCCGTACACGTGGACCACACAAGGTTTGGCTCGAGCATTCGAGACAGCACGTGGGTGTCAGGCTGCTTGTCACTGTGCGACAAGATGTCCAGGGGCAGATCGTCCACCAGCTGAGTCAGAAACACCTGCAATTTGTCCGTGGTCAAGGCGAGATTACCTTCCTCCACCTTTCCGAATACGATTCCCAGCAGGTCGCCCTGCTCCGCTGTTCTCCAGGCTTGGATGATCAGAAGTTCCACGCTGTCCTCTGGGTGCTCTGGACCTTCTCCGAACGGGGCCGCTTCCGACCAGCGGAACTCTATCTCCAATAGACAGAAAGTGAGCTCAATATAGTCCTCCCACCACGCGTCCCACTTCTCCTTGCTCAATAGCGACACACTGTTCTCCTTAACACGGTAGGAGAGAGTAGGAGCCCGCGCAGACTGCCAAAGGGTGGGGATGCTGGAGGGGAGGCCGAAGTAGGAGACGCGATGATGACTCATTGGGGCGGCGCGAAGGAACGAAGCTTTGGGAGCACGATCGCTGGCGAGCTTCGAGATGAGCGGAGCTGGAGATCCGTGTCATGCGCCGGCACGATGGTGTCCCCTCGTCGAGCCAGGAGATCGGTCCACGCTGTCCGCACTTCTCCAGCCCAGGTGCGCAACGTCCGATAGATGTCGGAGTGAATCTCCGACGGAATCGCTGTGATGTGTCCTGTAAAGACGACGACGACGGCGATATGGCTAATCCCGAGAGGGGATAGCCGTCGAAAGGCCGAGATCTCGGCCAGAACACGCATAGTTGCTTCTTCCGTGAATCAAAACTCTATCGTCGCATAGATCGCCGATGTACTGAAGAACGCTGCAAACCGGAGGAGATCAGAGCAGAGATGGGCCCGCTGCACCTGCCGTATGACGCTGATTTGCCCCCGCGGAGTAAGAAGCCACGCGCCGATCACTTGCTCCATTGCAAAGCTCATGGCGATGGTGATGGGGTAATAGAGAAAGCACCGGAAGGAGACGGAGAGATAGGAGAGAGGTAGTCGTCGCTTTCCTCCGCAGGGGAGGAGGAATCGGATGAGTGCAAAGATGGGGAAGGAGGAAGGGGGCGAAGATAGGATACGTGGCGGATGATCGGCTGCCGGAGACCTCAGGCGCAAGCCGCACGGTGTTCACGCCGTTCGATCCGAGTTCGATTACACGGAATCGCTCGAAGAATCGTGGCGCTAGCTTACCCTGGCAAGCACATTTCCTCACCTGCACGATGTCCCCCAATTTGTACTGGGGCCGTGGACCCGCGTTTCCGTTTCGGGCCCCGTAGCTTCGGACCTGTCGGCCATGGGCCAGTTCGGTCATTTTCTGGCGTTTTCGGGATACTTTGGGCAGGGACCGTTCCATTAGTTCCAAGTGTTGTTTAGCCTTGTCCCGAGCCGTGGCCCTGGTGGATCGTCGGTACAGTGTGGATTCATCCAGTAGGCTTTGTATCGATACGCAAGCGACGCTATTGGTCCTTAGTTGGAAGGGGCTTAGCCCCGTCGATTCGTGAGGTGTACCGCAAAGGACCGCCAGGATGTGGTCGACGATATCAGGCCAGGGCCTCGGATCCAGTGCCGCGATATTCCGTCGCAATGTTGTCTTTATCACCCTGTTCTCGTTTTCTACCAGCCCATTTGACTGTGACTTGTGGGGTGCAGTGTTTTATATGGCGACGCCATGTATGACTAGATTCCTCAGTACCTCTCCCCTAAATTCAGCCCCGTTGTCGGTCAGGATCTCCTCCGTATCCTGGTGCATCCCGAGAAAGCGGTTGAGGTATCACGCGATTTCGGCGGCTTGTCTCGTGAGCCTCAATCCATTTCGAAAAGTGGTCGACAAATACTAATAGGACTGAATACTCACAACTATTAGGACCAGGGGGCACCACTATGTCGGTAGTATCCATGCTGACTCTTTGAAAGGGCCGTTCAACTACTGTTGGCACTATCGATCTTGGCGGTTGAATCGACGCTTTATCAACGGCGCAGACTTGACAGTTGGCGACGATATACTTCACATCGTCGCGGATATTGGACCAATACCACTCATTTTTGTCGATAGCCGACTCTGTGATCCGTACGGCAAAATGAGCCGCAGTTTCTTCGTGTGCCGTTTTAACCCAGTCGTACCTCATGAACGGAATCCAAATCTCACTGCTGTCTGTTTTCCGTTTTTTTAATCTGCCCTCTATCCATCTGTAATCCCGAGCCCTCTCGTTGGCCCTGCTTCGATCTTCCTTGGTGAAATCCTGAAGGGGGTTGCCAACCAGGGTGGCAATCAAGGCGATATCAGTCCATACTTTAGCCCTTCTAAACTTCCGGGTCTTTTCCAACCCTTCTGATGTGGCATCCAAAAAGCGAGCCTCGGTTGGAATTTTGTCAGTCCGACACAAGGGGCACAACCACGGTTTACTATCGTTTTTGTATTGGATGCACGAGCCATGGGCTCGTGCGACACACTGTCGACAATCTATCCAGTCCGCATACCCTTCCCCGTTAGGACGCATGGAAACTGAGTACACGCGGGGGATAGCTTCGCAAAAATAGCAAAATTTGTCGGGCAAGGAGAGGAGAGACGAAGAGGAAAGGGGAGAGAGAGGGGTAGTGGGGTTACCTCCATCACCCATTGCCGCCGTTTTGCTTTTTGCCCCGCGAGAGAACTGCCACTTGTCCGTACTTAGGCTCGTTGGTCAAGTCCGACTCTTTCCACGGTGTGATTTCCTCGCCCTTTGGTACCTTGGCAGGTCGATGCAGACGTGTCAGTCCGTCCGCGTTGCCGTGTCGCTCTGTCTTTCGATGGACGATATCGAAGTCGTATTCTTGTAGTCGCACCGCCCAACGGTCAATCATGCCCGTGTAATTGGTGAGTTTCTTCAACGCCAGCAAGGGTTCGTGATCTGTTACGAGGCGAAACTTTTGTCCGTAGTAGAGATACGGATGGAAGTGCTGGATTCCCCAGACTACTGCATAGCATTCGCCTTGAGGTGCTGAGTCATTCCTTCGCTCGTCCGATACCGTGCGTGACACGTATTCAATGACGTGTTCACGACCATCGTTCCCCTTCTGCGCTAAAATAGCGGAGATAGCTTCCGGTTGTCAGTCCGTGATGAGAATGAACTGTTTCGAGGGGTCTGGCCGAATCAAAATAGGGGCCGTCGCCAGATCGTCCTTGAGGGTTGCGAAAGCCTGTTGGCACTCCGCGTCCTAGCTGAGTGGCTGGTCCTTCCTTAGTACGTTCGTTAGTGGCCGTGCAATCGCGGCGAAACCCTTGATGAAGCGACGATAGTACGATGCCAACCCTAAGAAGGCTCGAACCTGCGTCAGTGACGTGGGAACAGGGGCTTCTCTTACCGCCGCAACCTTTCTTGAGTCCGGCCGCAGACCTCCACGTGTCACGACATAGCCCAATAACGAAATTTCCGAAAGGAAAAATTCGTTTTTTTCGAGCGCGATCTTGAACAAAGCGTCCCAGCGCTCCCAATGTCCACTCGATGTGTTGCGCTTGCCCGTGATAGGTCTCTAAGTAGACAAGGATATCGTTCATGTACACGATCACGCAGAAGTTGATCATCCTCTGTGTTAGCCGCGTCTTGTTGACGAAGTTTTGGAATGTCATGTTCATCTCTCGCTGAAACGTGGCAGGCGCATTGCAAATCCGCATCCGACACAGAACTTACTGCCACGTGCCTTCAAACAACACGAAGGCCGTCTTTGGCTGATCTTCCTCCTTCACCAGAATGTGATGGAAGCCATGCCGAATATCAAACTTGCTGAAATAATTAGCGCAACCAATCGCATCCAACAAATCATCAATTCGGGGGAGGGGATACACATCTTTAATCGTGATTTCATTCAACTTGCGATAATCGATGCATATGCGGATTGATCCGTTTTTCTTCGGCACTAGTACGACGGGAAATGACCATGGTCCGGTGGCGGGTTCAATCCATCCGCAAGCTTCGAATTCTCGAATTCGTTCGAGAGCCTTTTTGCGTTCTATCAGGGAGTATCGGTACGGCTTACAATGGATCGGGGAGTGATTTCCCGTCTGTATTTTGTGTTGAATAACTAACGACAGGCCAATGTCAGTATCTGTCACGCTAATCGCTCCCCGATATTCCGTCAAAATGTCCGCAATCAATCGATGAATTTCATCTGGTACGTACTGTGGCACGTGTAACTTGAAAAGTTGGTCCCAGATCCGTATATCTATCTGTTTTGTGCGTGCAGGTTTCGCTACATCGGACGAGGGTGCAGAAATGAAGGAGTGATCCGATCACTAGGAGAACACCATGGCCATCATCTGGGCGTTTTCTTCCCGAATGGCCATGTGTCATCTGGGGTAATTCCGTCACAAACATCCTGCCATGGTACAGTCCTAGTCGCGATCTTTACTCCGAGTTCGTCTGAGTCAGCTTCGAGGCATCCAGGGGGTTCCAAAGAACTTGCTTCCACCGCCAAGCGCAACAGTCGCACTTCTTTTGCGGGTGTCGAGAGGGACCTTGGTAGATCCGTAATGTCGCAGTAATGCTTTTTGTCACTGTACCGGGCCAGGAGCAGGGTGATTCCTTCGTATAGGGTTTGAGGGGGTTCCAAAGAATCGACCATCCTCGAAATCTGCACGAGGGGTTCACCCAAGGTCATCGCCTTGGTCCTCTGAGCGTTCCTACTGGTCAGATGCATCGTTCTTGCTATCGTTCTAGGTGGCGGGTAGTAAACACGCTTTTGTGCTAGCTTCGAGATTTCCGGATCGTCCTCATCACTGCTGTCCGCACCATTTGTCGATGACTTTCCATCTGCGGATTCATCCCAGGAGATCATGCGGAGAGTCCCTGCCATCATCAGCGAAACCCGTGGGACTGCGCTGGTGGTAGTACGAAGGGTTAGCCTCATAGGTACAACATCATAGGGCTTTCCTCCTATATTTCGGAGGACGATAGATCGTCGTTCGAAATCCAGGTTTGCTCGTAACGCTACAAGAGCAGGAAGCCCCGAAAGGATGTCGTAGGTATTCACATCTAATACGACAACATTTCCCAGTGCATGCACCTTTCCTAATCGAAAAGCGACATTGGTCATCCTGCCTACTATTTTAATCTTTTCTTCGTCAGCCGAAACGAGTTGATCTTTCTCGGAAAGCATGATCAGATCGTTTTTCCTTCCTGCCCTTTCGACCACTCTTAGCGAAATAGCCAGCACCGCCGCTCCCGAATCTATAATTGCGTTGTAAGGAATTCTCCAAATTTCAATATCACATTCTGCGGATTTCCACGGGATGGGTTTTATCAGCAGGAAGTGATCGTCTTTCTGGATTAACCCTACCCGAATTGGATCCGACGTGCCAACCGGGTTTTCCTCGGGCGTCGGGTTTTTAGACTTTACGTTCGGTATTCGGGCGAGGGCAAATCGCTTCCCGTTCGCCTTGCAGTGCTGTAACATTCGCTCATTAGCTTGTTCCGAGATCGAAAGCAAATGACCGATCGGAAGCGGAATCCGATGGTCCAAGGCTCGAATGATG